CTCTCTCCTGCGTGCGAAAGTATAAAGAGAAGAAAAGAGTGAAACGTCGACTTTTCGTAAACAATGCCGCGCGTAATCCAAGACGATGACGAAGAACGTTGAGACGATCGTTTCAGACGCGATTGAATAGTACGATAAATTATTTTAAATTATTATTTATATATAATTATTATTTAAATTATAATTGTTATTTATATACGTTACATAAAGACCTATTACGTCGGAAAATTATCTGTCACATATTTCAATTAAGTTTCTTTAGAGACTCGGCGCGAATGCCGTAGCGAAACAATGTAAAAATATATAGAGACGGTTGTGAAGTACAACAACCCCGAGGTATTAATTATTTCGGGAACAGCGCGCGCGGGGATGTCTAAAATTTCACGCGACAATTCATACTGGATCGAAAAAGACGCGAACGCAGTTAAACGAACGTCCATTGCCTCCGCAATTCCGGCGAGGCGACTCCGTAACAGCCAAGCTTCTCGACGCAAAGTGGAAATACCGCGGTGAGGTAAACTCGAGGAAAAACTAGTCTGGTCCGACGTGCAACAGGTAGGGAAGCCAACGGCAAAGGCTCGGTGCGAGTCCGAGTTCGAGCAGACCGCGAGCGCGGTGACGGATCAACGACGGCGATCGACGAGATCGCTTTTAATGAGATTTAAGTCAAGGTGAGCGATACGGGGGGAGTCTGGGTCTACTGTAAACAAGAAGCACTCGCGGTAATCGTCATGGTCGTGTCACAAGGTTCCTTTCCTGTAAACCTTCAATATTACGATAATTATAGAAATAATTAAAAAATCTTAAACTCTCTCTTTCTCTCTAGTGAGTCTTTCAGGCAGATATATAAATTTTAAATCTGCAAAAGATTTGTATAATCTGTGTTTATATATCACTGCCATATATATGTAAACTCAAATCATTAAACACTGCACTTTATGCTTCACAGTGACATAATGAATATCGCACTTATTCCTCTATTACCTTTCCCCTATCTGTATAATAGACATACTAATCGCGCAATCGCGGCGCGGTAACGAGTAGGTGGTCCGCCGCCGATACGGATCGGATCGCAGAATAAAGTACGGTAGCGAATCGAACAACGAGGCGAGCGAGCGACATGGAACTCACGTCGATCAATGCGCGCCTTGCCGATTACTCAACGAAACTGGTAATCGTACCACTGCGGAGTTCGCGAAGTGCCTAATCGCAACACCTTCACCTAGATATCTCGATGTTTACGCGATGAAGATATGTCCTTTCGAATCTAGTTGCGGCGATGCATGATAATTCAACCACATTGTCGAAACAGGTTGATCTCTTTTTTTATTTCTTTTATCCCTCGCAAATTGCGATAACAAAAATGTTGAAACCGTTTGAGAGCGATTCTTGATAAACCTAAGACGAATTATTAATTATTAAGCGAATCGCGTAATATACATGATGTGTCGATAATAATTTTGATTCTTCGAGGCAAGCGTGCATTTATTTATTCATACGTAATTTGTTAAGATAATACGTATTTTTTTAAGATAATTTATTATATATATTTATATATTTATTATATATACAGTATGTCTGATTTAAGTGGATACCTACGCGTAAATATTTCGTAGAAAATTAAAGATACAAAAAAATTGTTCAAACAAAAGTTGTTTGAATCCTCTATACCTCCAATCACAAAAAAGCTAATTGCGCCATATTGTGCCCTCTTTCTAATCAAACAACTTTTGTTTGAACAACTTTTTTGTATCTTTAATTTTCTACGAAATATTTACGCGTATCCACTTAAATCAGATATACTGTATATTAATCTAGTTTTATCTTGGATTAAATAAACTGTCAAATCCATGACAGAGAAGAATCATGTTTACGATTTTCCTTATCACAATTAAATTTGGATAACAGAATTTTAACGCGAATTTCTTCTAATTTCGATCGTTGAATATTCAATCGAAGAACAGAGTTGTAGATACGCGTTGAATTAGTGATACAACAAATCGACCAAATTTTACCGATAAAATCTCGATCTTATCGAGGAGAATACAAATTTATATCGCGCCCAGCGGAAAAAAGAGGGAAAAAAGTACTTTTCTCTCTCTCTCTCTCTCTCTCTTCTCTCCCTCTCCGGCGGTTCAAAGACCGTCTAAGCGTATGCGACTCGTCGTCTCCCTACATGATTATAGTCTCATTCATGTGCGACCAGTTCGGCTCGGTTTCTTCTTCGTACCGATTTCAATCTAACCGCCGCGTGTATGCGTTACCATATAGCCGCAACGTAATGTATAATCGTTCTCGTTGTCGTCGAATCACGAGTACTCTACTCGGAACAGGCGGAACGTTCACTTTTAACAAACCAGACTGTACCACGCGGAATGATGGAGCATAGAGATCGCATTGCGAAACAAACCTTTGTCTCTCTCCCTCTCGCCCTCGGAAGAGAAGGAATTTCTCTGAGACGATCTGTGCGATGCAGAATATTTTGTAATACGTTAACACAAAATCAATACATAAATAAAGGATATTTTCAAAATAGAGTATAAGATCTCTCTTTTTTTTTTTATTCATTTTAACCAAACTGTAGACTGATGGAAGTTTAAGGCTTAATTGAGATCTTGCCATTCGCGAAAAAGAGAAAAAAATGATTAAACGACAAAAGGGCGTATTCATGACGAAGGTATACACATTTTCTACCGGTACTGTACCGGTTTTAAAGGACTGGATGGCGAAGGAGACGGTCGGAACGAGGATTGTACGCATACGCACACAGGACTGGTATCGCACACGCATACGGGGACAGGTACAGAACGTGGATAGCATGGCGACAGTGAAGGTGCGCGAGAGAAGAACGGAGGATTAAAGATGGAAAGAGAAGAGA